CATTGACACCTACAGTTTTCATCTACAGGGTACAGCAGCGTTGTGTGAAACACATGGAGGTCGTATGTGGTCGTTGTTGGGAGAGTGGTCGTATGTGACTTTGGGGAAATTTGCCGCTTGGGAAAAATTTTCCCGGTTGTTGACTTTTCAGGGTTTGACTCAGGGCAAACACTGCGACGTACCCTAAAAACCTCGTCGATATATAGTTGATATAAGGACTGAGAAAAACAGCCTGTGCTGGTTGACTGTTGACTTGCCTGTGATGTAAAAAGCACAGCGACCACCCCCAATAAACACCCGTTTCTTCCGAGCAGAATCGGCGAATGAATTTCGTGCGTTAAACCAGACTATAAAGGTCAGAGAGCACGCATACTAGTGTAATGAAAGACTACACTACCGTTTTGACGGAGCGCGTCGACCCCTTCCCCCTGCTTCACCACAGAGGGGAAACTTATATAAGGCTGTTCATGGGGTCGCACGCTGCTTTACCCCATAATAAGGTTCGATTATTATAGGTAATTGAAGTACATGCATTTGAATACAAAATGTACGTTCACCTCCGTGGAAACTGGTCTTTGCTGTGGGCCACTTTCTTGGGCGAAAGTGCACGGGAACAGGGCTGCAGGGCAATGGATACCCGGGTGCCGTCTCCCCACTCCGCCCAGGCTGCCTCTATGCCCATGCTTTTATCAAGGATCAGGCGTTCATCGGTACTCACAACTTCATGACTTACTACATACTGCTGTAAACAACACATACCTAAATTTACACTCGTTTATTCAATTTGCATAAGAAAAGGCACAATGCAACCTATATGCATATCACTCTGTTATAAAAACAATTTCATGTGTTAGTTTGTCGGTCTGTTTGCCAGTTCCTCCGCAATATGCCCCTCGCAGGCGCTGATGGGAGGGATAGGAGCCCCCGCCAACATAACTAGGGAGCAATCGGTCTGTCAATCGAGCCGGATGCCATGGTTATGATAACAGCATCCTTACCACTATAAGACACCACATAGCACTGTCGGAGTTCTTGTGAGCTTCCCGCCTCGTACCTGAAGTCTGTATGGGAAGTCAAATGGGTACGTTTCCAAGTACGCCGCGTTACGGCTGCACATTCTCATGCCGACTCTCCTCTCCTACACACCCGTTCTTGCCTCTCCTCTGTATGAACCTTGGTCACCCCCCCCC